TCATTTGTCTACATTTACAATTTTGTATGTTTGTGAAGATGTGTAAGAGTTAAACATGGCCCTTTTCCGTGAAGCTTTTTAAAAATTCAGATCTATGCTACTCCTATATGTATTCCTATATATGTAAATATTCAAGGGAGAGTTGGTAGCTTTCATTTTACATATTCAGTTGGGTCTTTTCAACCAAAATGTAAATCTGCAATATATTCTAATGTAACCCAATTAGAGCTACTAACACCATCTGTATATATATTTTCATTTCAGCTGTCAAAAAACACACAAATACATCCTAGTAATATATTTGATAGTTGTGTAATGTTTCATTGTAGTCTATTTCGTTAATCTTTTTCTTATTTTTAAATGGGTCAATTTTGATTTTCTTCCTTTTATAATCAACATTTTAGTACATATTTAATTTAAATTTTTTTTTTTTTTGAGTCAGAGTCTCACTCTGTCGCCCAGGCTGGAGTGCAGTGGCATGCTAACGGCCACTGGAGTCTCGACCTGCTGGGCTCAGGCTATCCTTCCATCTCAGCCTTCCAAGTAGTTAGAACTATAGGCATGTGTGATCATGCCCAGCTAGTTTTTTTTGATCTATTATAGAGATGAAGTTTCATTGGCAACCCCTTTAGGTCCCCTCCCTCTGTGGGAGCTTTTCTGTTCTCTCAATAAATCCTGCTTTCTTAAAAAATAAAAAATAAAAAAAAAGCCGGGCTCGGTGGCTCAGCCTGTAATCCTGCGCCTTTGGGAGGCTGAGGTGAGAGGATTGCTTGAGCCCACGGGTTCAAGACCCGCCTGGGCAACAAGACCTCATCTCTACAATAAATCAAAAAATCAGCCGGGCGTGGTAGCACATGCCTGTAATTCCGGCTACTGGGAAGGCTGAGGCAGAAGGATCGCCGGAGCCCAGCAGGTTGAGGCTGCGGTGGCCGGGAGCGGCCACTGCACTCCAGTCTGGGCAACAGAGTGAGACTCCAACTCAAAAAATAAAAAAAATAAAAATAAAATAAAAAAAGATGAGGTGTCGCCAAGTAGCCCAAGTTGGTCTCGAATTCGTGGGCTCAGGCAATCTTCTCATGTCAGCCTCCCAAAGTGCTGTAATTATAGGTGTGAGCCACCGTGCCCAGCCTAAATTTTTTTTAAAAGTAGGAATCTCACCCTGTCACCCAGGCTGGAGTGCAGTGGCACGCTCACTGCCACCAGAGCCTCAATCTGCTGGGCTCAGGTGATCCTTCTGCCTCAGTCTTCCAAGTAGCTGGAACCACAGGTGTGCGTCACCATGCTTGGCTGATTTTTTGATTTATTGTAGAGACAAGTTCTCGCCATGTTGCCCAGGCTGGTCTCGAACTCATGGGCTCAGGCAATCCTCTCACCTCTGCCTTCCAAAGTGCTAAAATTACAGGCGTGAGCCACTGCACCTGGTACATATTTTAATATGTCTTTGCTCACATTTCTGACATTTTTCTTAGAATAGATCTATTACTATAGCAAAGTACCTAAATTTTGAAGCTAAAAGTTAAAAAATAAGAACAGAGGCTGGGCATGGTGGCTCACATCTGTAATCCCAGCACTTTGGGAGGCCAAGACCAGAGGATCACTAGGGGCCAGGAGGTGAAGACTTGCCTGGGCAACATAAGCAAGATCTTGTCTCTACAAAAATTAGAAAGATGAGGCAGGCACTGTAGCCCCTGCCTGCCTGTGGTTCTAGCTACTCAGAGGCTGAGATGGGACGATTGCTTGAGCCCTGAAGTTGAGGATTACCATGAGTGAGCTATGATCCCACCACTGTGCATTGCAGCCTGGGCAACAAAGAGAGAGACGCTATCTCTAAAAAAAGAAATAAAAATATTTACAAAAGGAACAAATGGGATAATATTTAAAAAGTCAAATATGAATAGTAAAAGACTAACAAAGCGACCTTGTACTCTGGACCTTCTCAGTCTGCCCTTGTTCCTCTCTTTAGCTTCTGTAGTTTACCTTTAAATGTGGCTCTTTTGTGATTTTTAAATTTTAGACATTATCTATCTGTTGATTCTATGAAAGAGATGATTGAGATTTCTTTCATAACTAAACACACATTTTTTTGGTTGAATCAATATTCTATATTTATATTTTATACTATATTAATCTTTTTGAAGCCATGTGGAGTATTACAATTACATATCCTTCCTTTTTTTTTTGTTTGAGTTGGAGTCTCACTGTCACCCATGCTGGAGTTCAGTGACATGCTCACGGCCACTGCAGTCTCGACCTGCTAGGTTCAGGCAATTCTTCTGCCTCAGACTTCCAAGTGGCTGTAACCACAGGTGTGTGCCACCACGCCCAGCTAATTTTTTTGATTTATTGTACAGACAATAAGTTTCTGACCCACTGAATCTATGAACATAATGTAATCACTCACTTAAGGTTTGGGGTAATTTTTTGTGTGTTTGTTTTGCTTTGTTTTGTTCTGAGTTGGAGTCTCACTGTGTTGCCTAGGCTGGAGTGCAGTGGTATGCTAACGGCCACCACAGCCTCAACCTGCTGGGCTCAGGCAATCCTTCCACCTCTCCAAGTAGCTGGAACTACAGACATGCGCCACCATGCCCGGCTAATTTTTTTTTTTTTTTCATTTACTGTAGAGACGAGGTCTTGCCAAGTTGCCCAGGCTGGTCTTGAACCCTTGGGCTCAGACAATCCTCTCACCTCCACCTCCCAAATTGCTGGGATTATAGGTGTGAGCCACTGGGCCCAGGTGGGTAATTTGTGAAGCAGCAAGAGTCACTGGAACATTTAGGGTCTTATGTATTATAATTAATTTATCCCTAAATTCTCAATATGGTCAAGCGTTATTAGATATATATCAGTTCCAGTTTTTCCTTGGAAGTATTTCTCCTGGAGGTCTCTTCTCCCAGTGTTGCCAGGATGCACAGCCATCAAGCCTAGGGTCTGCTAGGATAACAGACAGTGTGGCCTGTTACTTCAGGGTGTGGACCCTGTAGCTGTCTTATCTAGGTTTGAGTCCTGGCTCTACCACTTGCCAGCCCTGTGACTGTGTGCAAGTTGGTGAATCCTCGTACCTCGGGTTCCTCATCAGAACAGTGCCTGGCACAGAGTGAGTGCTACTATTGCTGGCATTATTATTGAAGTTTGCTGTTTTTTTCTCTTCACATTGTCCTGGGAATTCTTATTCCCTCATGTCTGTATCTGGAAACCTGCAGTTTCTAGACTCCATGTCTTTCTCTTTCTTGGTTAATTTTCTGTCTTAATGGAATACCCCACTGACTCCCTAAAAACAGGCATTTGGAAGGTAAGTTTTTTGAGAACTTGTATATTTGTTTTAAGTTGTCTTTAATATCACACTCGATGATAATGCAGCTGGCATAAAATTCTAATTTGGAAACAATTTTCTCTTTGAATTTTGAAGGTATTATTCCATTGTCTTAAGATTTTCAGTGTCACCCCTGAGACACCACTCTGATTCCTGATGCTTTGTATCAAGGTTTTATTTTTCTTCCTGGAAGTATTAAGACCTCTTCTTGATTCCCGTTGTTTTAAAATTCAATAATGATGTGACCTGGCGTGGGTCTTTTAGAACTCATTATTGAGGGCACCATTTCCATTTGGAAACGGGTCCTTCAGTTCCCAGAATTTTTTTTTTTTTTTTAGTCAGAGTCTCACTCCATCGCCCAGACTGGAGAGTAGTCACATGCTCTCGGCCACCCCAGCGTTGACCTGCTGGGCTCCCGTGATCCTTCCGCCTCAGCCTTCCAAATAGATGGAACTACAGGCACGCGCTACCACGCCCGGCTAATTTTTGACTTATTGTAGAGATGAGGTCTTGCTAAGTTGCCAGGGCTGTTCTTGAACCCGAGGGCTCAGACAATCCCCTCACCTTGGCCTCCCAAAGTGCTGGGATTACAGGCTTGAGCCACAGCACCTGGCCAAGTTTCCTTTTTATCGGCTTGTTTTTGAATCACTCTTTTATGGAAGAGGTTGTTCTCAAATGCCCTGTGGTCCTCTTTACCATTCTGCTTCAGGGCGAGGTAGCTGGATACCCTGTGCACTTGCATCCTAGGAGGCTTGTCAAATGGTCTCTCTCTAAGAGCACCAGTCATGGAGATGGCATGTTTACTGAGGGAGCCTGAACATCCTAGTCTGCAGGGATTTTCTCCTGAGTTAGTGTCCTCAGGAAAGAATTCTCCAATTTTCTACCTGGTGAATATAGGGAGTTTTAAGTAGGCTGCCAGCATTTTGAGAATCAGTAAGGGAAGAGGGTTGGGAGAGGGGAAATAGTCTCTTCCAGAATGCAGATATTCACCGATGCTCCCTCACCCTCAGCTGTACGCCTCTTTCCCCGTCCAAAGCTTCAGATTAACGCAACCAATCACAACCACCAAGTTAAATGCATTCCACGAGGTTTTGGATAAAAAGGCAAGAACTTTTTGTACTACGATTTCTGAATTAAAAGAAAACCCCAAAAGTTCTCTCTCATCTGCCACCTTCCACAAATGAAATATTCCCCCAATTCAAGTCCTTTTCCCCTTCCTCTTCACCATGCTTTTTTTTCCTCTGATAATGCCTCTGAACAAGTATTCAGGGTCCAAGTTTGTTTTAAAATAACCCAATGAGCTGACAGACGGAGCTGCTGGAATTCTGCAGCTTGTGCTAGAGCCCACAGATGGGAAATTGCAGTCAGTTATGGGGTGGTGCTATTACCATAGCCCAATTTTTGAAAGCCTTTAGAAAAAAAAATCATCTGAGTTAATTAGCATTCCATAGACACTAGTTTTGTGTTGCAGTATTCTAAGAACTCAGATAATAGAAAAACCACAGTAATGCAGTCCCTAACTTTAATATTTTACCTCTTAAAGATGAGATTATAAAGAAAAAATTTAATCCGTTATATGAATATGCTCTTATACGACTGATATATAGCCTTAACTCATCAGAAATGTGAATTATGTTTTCAAATTCTCTCAATACTAATGATACCTAAAATGTGAGTGATCTCACCCTACCTCTCCGATCTGCTTAATCCACAAATCTCTTCCGAGAAATTCCTGATGTAAGACGACCGGAGCCGAGTTTAGATTAAAAGTCAAGGAGTCGCTGGTCTTTTCCTTAATAAAAGGCTGGAGGTCAGAATTTATCTGGAAAGAGCAGTTAAAAGAGTTAATTAGTGAAATGTATATACACTAATATGTTTTAGTCATATTCAAAAAGCACCAATTAATGCAATGAAAAATGAACTTAAGGAATGCAGTTTTAGGATATACTTTAATGAAAAAGAACATTTCGAATGATTCACAATAATCTTTAACATTCTTCTGAATTATTTTCCCCAATACATTCCTTTTTTATTTTGGCAGCAGCCTTTATTTTATCTTTTTTTTTTTTTGAGTCAGAGTCTCACTGGAGTGCAGTGGCATACTCACGGCCACCACGGTTCCGATCAGCTGGGCTCAGGCGATCCTTCTGCCTCAGCCTTCCAAGTAGAACAATAGGCAGGCACCACCATGCCCGGTTAATTTTTTGATTTATTGTAGAGATGAGGTCTTACCATGTTGCCCAGGCTGGTCTTTTTTTTTTTTTTTTTTTGAGTTGGAGTCTCACTCTGTCACCCAGACTGGAGTGCAGTGGCTGCTCCCGGCCACTGCAGCCTCGACCTGCTGGGCTCCGGCGATCCTTCCGCCTCAGTCTTCCAAGTAGCTGGAGCTACAGGCACGCACTACCACACCCGGCTAATTTTGATTTATTGTAGAGATGAGGTCTTGCCAAGTTGCCCAGATGGGTCTCGAACCCGCGGGCTCAGGCAGTTCACTCACCCTGGCCTCCCAAAGAGCGGGATTACAGGCTGAGCCACCGAGCCCGGCCCCCAGGCTGGTCTTGAACCCATGGGCTCAGGCAATCCTAGGTTTGAGCCACCATGCCCTTAGTATATATTTTTCACTTAGTATATATTTTTCAGCTGTTGCTTACATAGCTCATAAGAAGGGGAAAACATATATGTATATATAATATCTCCAAATGAGTTATTTTGCATATTTTATTTAATCTTAGATTAGTTTATTGAGCAATTCTATTTGTTAAATCTTTATCTAAATCTTTGGCTTAAAAAGTAAAATCAAAGCCGGGCTTGGTGGCTCAGCCTGTAATCCCGCACCTTTGGGAGGCTGAGGTGAGTGGATTGCCTGAGCCCGCGGGTTCGAGACCCGCCTGGGCAGAGAGACCTCATCTCTACAATAAATCAAAAAATCAACCGGGCGTGGTAGCGCATGCCTGTAATTCCAGCTACTTGGAAGGCTGAGGCGAAAGGATCGCTGGAGCCCAGCAGGTCGAGGCTGCGGTGGCCGGGAGCGGCCACTGCACTCCAGTCTGGGCGACAGAGTGAGATTCTGAATCAAAAAAAAAAAAAAAAGAAAGAAAACTTTTGATTGGGCACAGTGGCTCACACTCATAATTCTAGCACTCTGGGAGGCTGAGGTGGGAAGACTGCTTGAGCCTAGGAGTTCAAACCCAATCTGGGCAACATAGCAAGACCTCATCTCTACAAAAAACTAGCCAGGTATGGTGGTGCACACCTGTAGTCCCAGCTACTCAGGAGGTTGAGGAGGAAAGATTGCTTGCACCAAGGAGGTCAAGGCTTCAGTGAACTGTGAATTTGCCACAGCACTCCAGCCTGAGCAACAGTTAGACCATAACTCAAAAAAAAAAAAAAAAAAAAAGCTTTAAATTTTATTCAGTATATTTCTAAATTTATTTTTTATTTTTATTTTTTGAGTCGGAGTCTCACTCTGTTGCCCAATTGCCCAAGCTGGAGTGCAGTGGCACGCTAATGGCCACTGCAGCCTTGACCTGCTGCTGGGTTCAGGCTGTCCATTTGCCTCAACCTTCCAAGTAGCTGGAACCACAGGCATGCACTACCATACCTGGCTTATTTTTTGAGTTATTTTTGTGACGAGGTCTCACCACGTTGCCTAGGCTGGTCTTGAACCCCTGAGCTCAGGTAATCCTCTTATCTCGGCCTCCCAAAATGCTGGGATTACAGGCTTGAGCCACTGTGCTTGGCCTCTAAATTTCATTAACTTTTCTTTCTTTTTTTTTTTTTTTTTTTTTTGAATTGGAGTCTCCCTTGGTCACCCAAACTGGAGTGC